AAATAAGTTAAGGTTGAAAACACTGGTATCTATCGGTAGGTCTTAGCGACTACTTTGATTTCGTCGCTTACTTACCGATAAATTTCGTTAATTACCGAAATTATAAGCATTTTAATGTTGCCGACTTTTGTCGGTAACTCAAAAAATGAGTTTAAGAATTCCACTACAGAAGTCTTCTAAATACTTAGTCCCAGGTGGAAGGTTAGAAAATGGATCTTCAAGAAAATTGGGTCCAAGAAAATGTGGGCGGGTGCAAAACGTCACAGAAGCTTTGGTGGACGAAAAACTTTCAAAGGTCTTCCCTTTGATGAAATAGCTCTTATATGTCTTCTGTAGGAAAATTACTTCGGGGAGGTTTTCTTTGGTTCCAAAAACTTCCAAGGAACCTTGAAGGTTTTTCTTGAAATCGACTATGGAAAGAAAAGGTTTCCGGTTTCTTCAGAGGTCTGCTGCATTTCGAATCCAGTTCAGAGGTCTCCTAAATACTTAGTCCCAGGAGGACGGGTAGAAAATGGATCTCCAAGAAAATTGGGTCCAAGAAAACGTGGTCGGGAAAAACAATTTTTTTTTACTACGAACCTTGCAGAAGTATTTTATAGGTGCAAAACGTCACAAAAGCTTTGGTGGACGGAAATACTTTCAAAGATCTTCCCTTGATGAAATAGCTCTTATATGTCTTCTGTAGGAAAATTACTTCTGGGAGGTATTCTTTGGTTCCTAAAACTTCCAAGAAACCTTGAAGGTTTTCCTTGAATTCGACTATGAAAATGAAACGTTTCCGGGTTCTTCAGAGGTCTGTTGGATATCAAATCCAGTTCAGAAGTTTTCTAATTACTCTGTGACATCCATCCGTCCCTTTCCCTTTTGTGGCCAATGGCTCTATTCGAAATAATGTTCTTATTCCAATTCCTGTGAATTCTTTTCCCTCTTTGTTCTCGTTTGACATTAAACCGAAATCACAAAATTGTTCGCCGTTAAGCAAACAAATTTCCCCCCATTTACTTGCAATTAGAAAAAATTATTGTTATTTAATGATGACATTTGGAGATGAGAAGTCGGCAAATGGGAAACACGTTTCAGTCAGTTTCTATGGCTGTGGCCTATTTCCCACACACCCAAAATCTTGTGCCGAATATTAATGGCGAGACATTCAAGTGAAAAAAAAAAAAAAAACAAAAATAAATCGTTTGTAATTTATGCTCAATTATGGAAATGATGATATGGTGGGGTAGGGAGAGGGAGAGGAGATTGCTATAAAAATGGTTAAAATGCAAAAAAAATTAAATTTGACTCTCCTGAAGGCGCTACATACCTTAGCCATGAATGTTCCAGTTGTCCAAAAAAAAGTATTGATATATATTTTGTTGTTGTACAATTTATGAACATATTTGACGTTTTATGCTTCTTTTTGTTGTTGTTTTTTGCCTTCATTGTTTATTCGTAATTTATCCAAACACCTATTAAAAATAATCGCTATTCGAATGCGTGTCCGGGGATTTAATGGAGCAAAAATAGTGAACCAAAAATCCCAAACGAAAAAAAAACTGAAATAATTGTTTTCAGTTTTTTTTTTTTTTGCTGACCTTGCCTAACCAAGTTTAGTGAACTATATTTATGTTGTTGTTGTCGTTTTTTTTTTTTTTTTTGTTGTCTTATGGGACAAAACATAAACTATTTTCTTTAATGATTTTGGTGTGTGCGTTCTCCTTCTCATTCCCATTATGGTTTTCTAGATTGCTTTCGAAAAATGAACAGCTGAAAAAACACAAACACACATACACACAGAGACGGATTGCTTCCAAGTTCGGTGACTTGACCTTTTTTCAAACTATGTTTGTCAAGCATTTTAGTTTTTTGAATTCGAATTCGAAACTGAATTGACATTCATATTTTCTAATGGTTGGGAAGGGTATGCACTTTGACAAGGTCAATTGGTAGATATTGAACCCATAGAAGACCTACGAAGAAGATATGAAAGAAAGACTACCAGAAGAATAAATTTGAAAAACCCAAAAGAAGATAGGTGAAAGGTCTTCCATACACAGAAACAGATTTGGAAGAAGTAATCCCTTTTTAAAGAACCCCAGAAAATCGAGCTCTGAAATGTATAACAGCTATAAGATACCTCTGAAGGTCTCCTGTCTATGGACGATGAAAAGTTCTTTCGTCACAGAAGCACTTTTCAGAAGTCTTCTCCAAAAAATCCTTTCAGATAGGGAACTCCTGAAGATCGCTGAAAAATACAATTTTTATTGGAGAACACTACCATGGAGGACTTCTGACATGTCTTTTCGCTATAAAAGACTCTCCCATCTATGGACGATAGGAAGGTCATCCGTTAAAGAAGGGCTTTTCAGAAGTCTTCTCCAAAAAAAATCTTAGTATTCTTTATATTGTAGAATCCCAAAAATTAGATCCTCCGAAATGTCTTCTAGCCATAAGATACGTTTGAAGGCTTCCTATCTAAGGACGATGGAAAGGTTTTCCGTCACAGAACGGGTTTTTAGAAATCTTTTCCAAATAAAACATCTTTCAGATAGAGGTTCTGAAAATTGCTGAAAAAATAATCTTTTTTTGAAGAATCACAAAAATTGAGGACCTCTGGAATGTCTTCTAGCCATTAGACGCCTCTATAGACGAAGGGAGGGAGGCTTTCCGTTTTCAAAATAAAAACTCTTTTAGACAGAGTTCAGAAGTTGGACCTCTGAGATATCTACTAGCTATAAGCGCATCGGGAGGCCAAAAGGGGCTTTCCAAAAGCCTTCTCTAAATAAAATACCTTTCAAATAGAAAACTCCTGAAGATCCCTAAAAAATATTTTGGTTATTGAAGAATCCCAAAAATGCAGTTCCTCCGAAATGTTCCCTAGAGACGCCTGATGGTCTTATCTATGGACGATAGGCAGATCTTCCGACACAGAAGTGTTTTTCAAAAATCTTCTCCAAATAAAAAACCTTTCAGATAGATGATCCACGAAAATATTCTTTTTATAGAAGAATCCCAAAAATCTAGGTCCTCCGAAATGGCTTCTAGCTGTAAGAGACCACTGTAGGTCTCCTATCTATGGACGGTGGGAAGTATTTTTATTTTCGTCATAGAAAGGCTTTTCAGAAGACTTCTCAAAAATAGGAAAACTATCAGATAGAGAATTCCTGAAGATCCTTGAGAAGAATTTTTTTATTAAAGAACCTCAATAATTGAAGACCTCTGAAATGTCTTCTAGCTATTGGACACCTCTGAAGGTCTCCTATCTACAGACGAAAGAAAAAGAAAACCCTTTCAGATAGACTTTCTGAAATAATATTCTTTTTTATTAAAGAACTCTAAAAGCGACCTCTGGAGGTCAAAGAAGTGCTTTGCAGAAATCTTCTCCAAAAAATCCTTTTAGGTAGAAAACTCTTGAGGACCCCTGAAAACATATTCTTTTAGTTAAAGAATCCCAAAAATCCAGGTCCTCCGAAATGTCTTCTAGCCATAAAGAGACTTCTGAAGGTCTCCCATCCATGGACGATAGGAAGAGAAGTATTCTCGACACAAAAAGGCTTTCTTCTCAAAACCTAGCAAATAGAGAACCCCTGAAGATCCCTGAAAAATATTTTTATTAAAGATCCTCAAAAATCGAGGACCTCTATAGACGAAGAAATGAAATAGAGTTATTGATGGTGGCTGAAAAAATATTATTTTTTTTATTGAAGAACCCTACCGACCTCTAAAGGTCAATGAAGGATTTCCAGAAGCCTTCTCCAAAAAAGATCTGCCAGGTAGAAAACTCTTGATGAAATATAGCCGCCATATAACGGTACCTCCCGACATTTGGTATTTTTATGATTTTCGCCACATTTTTTCCTCCGATTTGTCTAAAAATCGATACATGTAGGTCATAATGGGTTCTAGTTTCACAGGCCGAACATTGCATATATAAGTCCACGGTACCTCCCGATATTCGGTATTTTGAAGATTTTTGCCACATTTTCCCACGAATTTGTCTAAAAATTGGTATTTGTGGGTCAAAATGGGTTCCAGCTCGTATCGCGAAACATTGTATGTATAGGTCCACATTTTGGTATAACCCCCATATAACGGTACCCCCGATATTCGATATTTTGATAAACATTGGTAATTACAGTTCATCATAGGGTTTAGCACGGTGGCAGAACATTGAATATTTAGTTCCACGTTTTCCTAAAACGCACATATATTCGGTATTTTAATAATCCTAGCCACATTTACCCACATAATTTCTTTAAATTTGGTATTTTAGAAGATTTGATAGATAACAATCCTTGAAGTACAAAATCGCCTATAGAGGTTCCCGTTTTGGTATGGCCTCATATAACAGCCTCACTCACTTTACTGGTCTTACTGGTATATGAAGTTTAAAGTGAAACATGCTTGAATCCAGATACTTTTATATAAAAATGTTTCCTTTACCCTAAGCTGAAGGGTATTGAATGTTAGGCCCGGGCGAACTTAATGTTTTTTTTACTTGTTCTACCTCAGGTGTTTTAAAAGTCTTCTGTCTAGATGAGGCCAATAGATGCGTTTTTATTATATCGATATCTATTTGGTTTTAAACTATGTGGGTATCTCTTTAGATGGGCTTAAAATAATCCATATAAAGCAGACTAATTTGAAGATAATCTCTAATTTTCCAAGAACGTTTTTAATATTATCTCCTTAGATTTTCATCCAAACATCAAAGATCTATTGAAGACCTCCAAACTAATCCACTCAAGGTCAACCTCATATTAAATGTGCGGACAAATTTCAAATACCCATCGCCCAGTGTTAATCAGTAGTTATGAAATTTATCCAGATGTGCTAAAACGCTCTTAACTATAGTTTTATTTTTTCTTTTCTATTTTTTTACAAAAATCCATTAAGAAATATTTTAAAGTTTATTCACACCTCTCCAATATGCGTTGATAATAGTGCTCTTTAATTTACTTAGCAATTATTGTGATTTATAAATTTAAAAACGCTAATGCATCCATGCTTACCAATTTTCACATTTCAGTCTCTATGTGCTACGGCGACGACACAGCATGCGATAAATGGAAAGCTGAAATTAAAAAAAGAAACAAAAAACCAATTAGCAAATTATTTAATTACAAAAGAATGCGAAATAAAAATCCAAACAGTAATGGAGTTTGAAGAAAATCAATGGCTAAAAAAGATAGCATAAAATTTTCAAATCATCCACAATCACGACACTGCGATATAGTGTTTCATTTTCAATGGCGTGAAGTTTATAATTTTCATAAAGGTAATCTTATATAAAAATACACCCTATCTGACAGGCAACATATACAAATTGCCCTATCAAAAATTTCCGCCCAACGATGGACCCGAAATCACGACCCTGTGATTTTGAGTTAATTTCGACTCAGAGAGTCGTACCGTGGTAATCTTGATAAATACTGAGCTTTTATCCAATTCAATTCAAATATGGCGCCCAACGTAGAATCCAAAATTATATACCTGCCATTAAGAGTTTTATCAGACTTCAGTTGTTGGAATCTTAAAATCTTGATATTATCATTATCTGATAGTAAAATACACCCTAAATCTTTCCGAATATACATACCATACAAAATAGGGGCTAAATCTTTATGAAGACAATCTTACAAAAATGCTTGTAATAAACTCTTTTTCTTCAGTTCAACACATTTCCAATATGGCGCCCAATGTAGGGCCCAAAACCACGATCTGAAGATTTAGAGTTTCATGTGGCTGAGATGGCCGAAATTGTCTCCCCTTGATGAAGATAATCTTTTTGAGAGTCACTAAAACATTTTTTCCTTTTATCAACACATTTAAAATGTGGCGCCCAACGTGGGGACCAAAACAAAATATAAAATTTCCTATATAAAATGGACTTTCCAATAGGTCTTCTCTTTGTTAAAGATAATCTTATAAAATGGCCGTAAAACCTATTTTACTCTTGTTCAATCACATTTCAAATATGGCACCCTACGTTGGACTCGAAACAACGATCAAAAGATTTAGAGTTTTATGTGGCTGAGATAGATGAAATCTTCTTTTCGTGATGAAGATAATCTTTTTGTATTCCCCTAAAACCATTGTTTTCTATTGTCCAACACATTTCAAATATGGCGCCCAACATGGGACCCGAAACAAAATATTAACTTTTCCATATAAAATGTGTGAAAAATTATATATTCCGGTCCTCCCCTATTAAGGATTAACTTAAAAAATTTCCGTAAATTCTATATTACTTTTGTTCAACACATTTAAAATATGGCGCCCAACGTTAAACCGGTAACAATAATAGGATTTAGAGTTTCATGTGGATGAGATAGCAGAATTTTTCTTCCCTTGATGAAGATAATCTTTTTAAATGCCCTAGAAACCATGTTTACTTTTGTTAAACTGATTTCAAATATGGCACCCAAAGTGCGGCACGAAACAAAATGTTAAATTTCCATATAAAATGTGCGAAAAGTGTACATTCCGGTAGGTCCTCTCCCTGTTAAGGATGATCTTATGAAACTTCTGTTAAAAAACTCCTTTACTTTTGTTCCAAACATTTGGAAACAAATATGGCGCCCAACATTGGACCCGTAACAATAACTCCAGGATTTAGAGTTTCATGTGGCTGAGATAGCCGTTGATTACGATAATCATTTCCAGTGTGACTAAAACATTTTTTTCTTTATTCAACACATTTAAAATATGGCGCCCAAAGCGGGGCACGAAACTAAATTTTAACTTTTCCATATAAAATGTACATCCGGTGGGTCCTCTCCTTGTTAAAGGTAATTTTATAAAATGCCCGTAAAACCTCTTTTTCAAACACATTTTAAATATGGCGCCCAACGAGATTTATATGTGACTGAAATGGCGCCCAACGAAGGACCCAAAACCAAATTTTAATTTTCCATATAAAATGTGTGAAAAATACATGATAAAGATATTTTTTTTAAATTCCTGTAAAAAATCATTTACTTCTGTCCAATAATTTTCGAACATGCCGCCCAACGTGAGACACGAAACAAAATAATTACTTTTCCAAATAAAATGTGCAAAAAATATACATTCCGGATGGTCCTTCCTATGATAAAGATAATTTTTAAAATGCCCGTAAAAAATCGTTCACTTATGTCCAATCATTTTCGAAGATGGCGACCAACGTGGGGCACGAAACAAAATTTTATTTTTTTATATAAAAATGTGCGAAAATTATATATTCCCGAAGGTCCTTTCCTTGTTAAGGATGATCTTATAAGACGCCTGTACAATACTCCTTTACATTTGTTCAACACATTTCAAATATGGCTCCCGATGTGGGGCAAAAAACAAAATATAAACTTTTCCATAAAAATGATGCAAAAATTATCCATTCCGAAAAGCTCGTCCAACTGGACTACTTAGATGCGGCTTCAGTGGATATCTTTTATAGACCTAAAGATACCCTGGTCCTAAAGACTAGAATTCTTTCCAAAGTGGCACCTTTCCTCAAATCACGTACGGTCAAGTCCGCCACTGTTACTGCACAAAATTAATCCAGTTTGGACAGCTCTGTTATTCATTTGTTGTCTAAGCTCCATAAATGTGATAAGGCAATAGAGAACATTTCAAATATGGCGACCAACGTGGGGTACGAAACAAAATATAACCATTTCCATTAAATCTTGTGCAAAAATTATCCATTCCGAAAAGCACTTGAACTGGGCTACATCGTTGCGGCTTCAGTGGATAACTTTTATATGCCTAGAGATACCTTGGTCCTAAAGTCTAGATTTCTTTCCAAAGTGGCACCTTTCCTCAAATCACGTACGGCCAAGTCCGCCGATATTACTACACAAAATTAATCCAGTTTGTCAAGATTTGGACTGTTCTTATTTTCATTCGTTATTTACGCTCCATACATGTGATAAAACAAGACAGAACATTTCAAATATGGCGCCCAACCTGGGGAACGAAACAAAATATACACCTTTCCGTATAAAATGTGCAAAAAGTATCAATTCCGGATGGCTCTTCCAACTAGGCTACATAGGCATAGGCCTAGAGATACCCTGGTCCTAAAGCCCAGATTTCTTTCCAAAGTGGCACCTTTTCTCACGTGCGGCCAAGTCTGCCGCTGTTACTACAAATATTTAATACAGTTGACGACATTTGGTTTACCCTTATTTCGTTCCATATCTAAGCGCTATAGATGTGGCGCCCAACATGGGGCCCAAGGAGAATATAAAAATTTCTATGTGAAATGTGTAAAAATTAGCCATTCCGGGAAGTTCTTCGACCTTAGTTAAATCATTGGGTCTTAAGTGGGCGTTTATCTTAGGCTACGAGAGGCTCTGGTCCCTAACCCCGATTTCCTCTCAAAGAGTTGCTTTCCCCCATAATCACTTACAACACTTCATCATAACATCCACGGCAGCTGATTTTAGCACCACCACCACAGATCTAATACCTAATGCCAACATTTGCTTAGCTTTTATTTTCATTTCTTATCTAAGCGCCGTGGGAGCCGACCCCAAAAACGCCAACCAAAGATGTGGTAAAAAAAAACAAACAGATTCCTAGACACGTCACGTTACACATTCTCCCACAAGCGGGGATTGGAGAAATGGTCGTCAGCTAATGGTATAACCATGTTACATATTTATGACAAAGCCGGCGGTTGAGCCACCTCCAACGACCCCTCTCGCTGGCATTAGGGCGACAGCTGTTGCTGAAGCTGAATTTAATTTGATTAAGTGTGAGATTTTTTCTGTCTCTTCGAGTTGTGTTATGTTATCCAAGCAGGCCGGGGAGGGCGTGTTGTAAAGTGCGGAGGTTATGTTTTTGTAAAGTTTTGTTTTCATTTTTCATATGAGGTTCGTGTTTTTCTTCTCCTCTCCAATATTATGCAATTAGCATGGGATCGCTGAAGTGTTGTAATGAAACCAAGGCGGCAAGGGGAGGGAGAAAAGGGGCGTTACAAAGTAGGTGTTCACTTGTAAAAGGTGATTAACCAGAAGGCGACTCAAGAGTAGCGTGTGTGTGTGTCTGCCCACTGCTTCAGTACAATAACATCTTGGCGAGTGTGACTGACTGATTGCCTGCCATCACTGCCTGAAAGTGAAAAGTTTCGCTCCACGAGGTGTTAATCGCAATTCAAAATATGCTTTCTTCGTGAGATTGTTGAAGTTTTGTGCTTTCTTTTTGGTATTTTAGAGATAAAATAATTAATTACTATTTCACGGTCATTTAAGTGTGTGTGGAGGAATTTCACTTATGGTAATTGTGGGCTTGGAGTTGGGGAATGGTTTTCGGGTTGCTGTGGAGATATGAGAATAGTTTGCCATATTAGGTGGCAATGTTCTGTGGGAACAATTTTATGCTGTGCCAACCAAAAAAAGAGGAAATTTGAGAAAATCCTTATAGATTATGAAAGTAGCTCTAAAATTATGAGATTTCTATATAAAATTTACATTCCGGCAGGAACATCCTTTGTTAAAAATAATCTTATAGAAAATATAAATCTATTATACTTCTGTTCAAGCACATTTTAAATATGGCGCCCAACGTTGAATCCAAAACAATGACCCTAAGTTTTAGAGTTTCATGTGGCTGAGAGGGCCAAAATTTTCTTCCCTTGATAAAGTTAATCTTTTAAAATGTCACTTAAACATTTTTTCCTTTGTTCAACACATTTCAAATATGGCGCCCAACGAGGGACCCAAAACAAAATTTTAAGTTTTCTATATAAAATGTGCGAAGAATATACATTCCGGAAGGTCCTTCCCATCATAAAGATAATTTTTTTAAAATGCCTATAAAAAATCATTTACTTATGTCTAATAATTTTCAAATATGGCGCCCAACGTGGGGCACGAAACAAAATTTTAACTTTTTCACATAAAATGTGCGAAAAGTGTAGGTTCTCCCCTTGTTAAGGATGATTTTATGAAATGCCTGTACAAAACTCCTTTACATTTGTACAACACATTAAAAATATGGCGCCCAACGTGGGGCACAAAACAAAATATAAACTTTTCCCTTTAAAATGTGTAAAGAAGAAGCCCTAAAATTATGAAACACGTGTATCGG